TGGTCTTGAACTTCAATCTGGTTTTGTTATCTTTTGAATTGAAATTTTTAACAGCTTCATCCACAGTTTCGTCAATTTAGTTATTTGGCATATCATCATAGGCATTCTTACTCCTCAATTTTAAATACGCGATCCTTCTCAGGAATTTTATATTTGGAAAGTTTATCATCTTCTTACATTTATTCCCATTTTTATCTACATGCACAATCAAAAACCGTCTTTTCTGCAGATAGTCAATGATTGTATTATAGGTCAATCTTGACAGCCCCATCCATTGCTTCATTATACGTTTTTGTGCAAGGTTTGGGTACAATTTCACTTTCAATGTTCTATTCACATTTTCATCCTTTTTTCTTCTTTTGATTTTTCTCACTGTTAATATTTTCTTTCTTTTCTTTTCCTTTCCTATGTTGATGGCAAGGATATCTTCGGACAGCTCATGTCTGTCGGTCATTGAATCGTCGAGGAGTAACACGAGTTTTGTAAAGTCGAGTGAGAATTCGTGCTTGAGGAATTTGTAGGTGAACCTGCATAATCGATCATGGTGGGTAGCCACAATCTCTCTGATAAGACCTTCGCATGATTGTTCCAGTAGGGTTTACAGTCCTTTGCATTTGAAGTTAATTCTTGATCTGATATCACTGATGAGTTCATAGGTTGGGAACCAGGAGCTGAGGAGTTACTTCTGCCACCCAAGGTCCTCTTTTTGCTTGACACTAGAGACCCGAGCATAGAGAAATCCTTTTTTAGTGGCGGTGGAGGTGGAGGTGGTGGTGGTGGTGGTGGAATCCACAATATTTGAGATATCATAAAGTCGCACGCCATCTGGTGAACGAAATGCTGTTATTTTACTATTGCACAAGGAAACACCAAGGATAGAAGAAGCCTGAGTGGCAGTAACGAACATTAAATGGAAAAAAAAACTTTAAATATTTTGCGAAAGGTTAAGCTTTTGAAAGTTTATTTGCGAATGGAATGAAATCACATTAAGAATTTTTTCAATCCCATTCGTAATCAGTAACACATAAGGGAATTAAAAAAAAAAATTTTTTTTACTACCGAACAAATTCTGTCCCAGAATACACAATAATAATAAAAAAAAGAATAAAACAAAGTTTTGTAAAAGGTGTCAAAACTTTTCGTGACGACGAAATGGTGCATAAGGTTTACAACGGTGATTTGTTAATACCTTGGAGGGGAGAAACCGAAAATAAAATTTTATTAGATAGGTGAGCTTCATTATAAAAAGTCGAGCTCATTATAAAACTATAAATTTTTTTTTCAAAAAATAAAAAGCATTATATATGTCGTCTTTATTGATTTTTTTTTGAAAAAAATATTTTTAAAATGATTCTTTTTTAACATTTTTTTTTTTTTTATAATTTTTCTTAATATAAAGATATTCTTAAATAAAGTTGGTCATGTTTCAGATTGGATTTTATCACAGATTTTTTTTTTTTACGAGCAAATCTTACAATATTTTAAACTCGAATTTTGATTACATATAACAAATACGATATCTTAATCATATTAGAGTTTGGAACCAAAACTTCCTTAATATAAATTAACGGGATAGATTTTTTTTTATTTACGTTACTCGACTTTAATTGTAACAAATTGATAGTACAATTTCTTCTAGAATAAGAGGAATGAATTATTACAGGTAAAAAAAAAATAACGATTAACTTATATATTTTTTTATAAAGCAACAAGTGTTCCAGTAGAATAGGTTTTTTCTGGCGGAACCGATCCGATATCTACCAAAAGATGTGGTATTAAAGCTAATACAAATTTTCTGTATGTGCTTGAAATCCTGGTGGAAAAAGATGTAAAAAAAAAGAATTTGGATTAATGCTCACAAAAAAAATAATAAATTTTTTATTAAAAAAACTTTTATGACACTTTTTTATTTTCGGCAATAATAATACCCTTGAAATTCGAGTCGAATCTGGGTTAACAATAATCGGGTCGAATTCTGGTTCTGTAATTCTAAACGGACCAGACCCTTACGGAGCACTAGCTTGAATATCCAAAAAATTAACGTTAATGGTGATGAATTGAACGAATTGAATAATTTTGGTTAACGAATTCACTATAATATATCAGGGTATGTTATTAAATGCCTTCGATTTTGTATTTTATATTAACATTTCAAATTATTTTTTTTTTAAAAAAAATGGGAGCACAAAAATGTATGTAATAACAAACATTCCAATTTAGGGTATCGATTTAATATTAATGGATCACCCAAATAAAGAAATTTTGAATGGATAACCAAATAAGAAAATCTGATTAGATCACCCAAATAAAAAAATAGTTTATTTAAAAATCTCTTTTTTTTTTTTTTAGTGAAAACTTTTATTTTTTTCCTTCGAATTTACAATCATAGATGGTAATTAAAGCATTATCAATTTTGCTTCTCTCAACTTAATATTAATTCATTAAATTTAAATATAATATTTGTAATAGGAAAAGGTATTCTCGCGATATTATGTATATGATCGAGGCGCGTCACTAATAAATAATTCACAATAATAGAAACATTCAAGATTTCCGAAGCTTCTACATCCAAAAGTAAAGACAATAATTTATATGCGTAAAATTTGTTATTTGGCTGAGAAATATATTTTTCTAACATATTTGCAATTTAATAGGTCCAGAAGGTAATATCTGTAATAATTAATATTACTAGGTTAACGATATTGTATAATTTTTATAACTCGACTAAAATGTTATTAATTCCTTGTTAGATGATAACGAAAGTAATTTATTTTGATTTGATATCATTTATTTATGTATATGATCGACTAATTTTGAATTTTAAATTATTTCATAACGTTATTTTTGGATAATGATAATTTAAGTTCTACTGCTACTATTAGTAGTTTTACCACAGAAAGTACCAGTCATGATACTGAAATTTTACCATTTATTTGGGATGAAATAGCATTTAAAAATGCTCAAGATTTATTAGAAATAAATGATGATGAAATTAATTGGGAAGATGCTGATTTTGAAGAAAATTTTGAAACAGAATCAGTCATTACAAAATTTACTGAAGAAGATATTAATTATCAAATTGAAAACATTTCTGGATCATTAAATTTAACACCTTGTGTTATTATAGATATAATTGATGGTAAAATACAATGCTGTTCTAAAATAACAACACATCAACATCCTTTAGCACAACTTATAGGAACATGGGAAATTGATAAAAATATCTTTATAAATATTAGGAGTTTATATAACTTATTTTAATTTTGATCAAAATTACCTTCATATGCCAAATATAAAAAAACAAAGATCTATTGAAAAAAGTATAATTTATAATCATCGCTGTTTATTTTACAATAAACATAAATATTTTTTTAGTTGTGAAAATAATTGTATAGAATATTCAGTATGCATAGTTGGACGAAATATTCAAGTACCATGTATTGGACTTAAAACTTGTCAGATTTTTAAAGATGTTGATAATAATACTATTATCAATA